GATGTGAACCAGTCTTGTATTTGTTGGGGGAAAAAAAGTTAAATAAAAGTCTTAAAAAAAGAAAACACTGCATACTTTTTCATTTCAGACGATACAAAGATTTTTTTTCATGTATAATGAAAGATGACAATTAAACTGTAGCCACGCCTTAATGACATAGGCCTAAATGAACTTTAATTTCCTTTTCCCAAATTTATATAAAACGAAGGTTAATGTGCCCTAAAAATCTAAAAAACACAACAAAACATGGTGTCTCAATAGATAGTGACGTTGAATGCATCACCTCGGCCTCCAGTAACACTGTGAAGAACCTTGGAGTCGTCTTTTTAACCAGGATATGACCTTTCTGACACATTTTTGCTGTTCATAAAAGATCATCTAATTGTTGGGGTTTCCTCCAAATTATTGTACGGTTTTAAGTACAATAAAGCATTCTGAGCTCGGCCAGAGGCTGACTTTATCCCTTATGACGTGTCTACTTTTCAAAATAAACATTTACTCAGTTGTAGTCACAGAGAAATGGCACATTCTTGAAAAAGACTTTGACTTGGATGGTTCGCTATAGAAGATTTTCTCAGTATCACTGTTGGCTCTTTGCCTTATAATACAAAAAAACAAAAAAATATTAATGCCACTGTTTTGATTTGGGACTACATAAAAATGAATTGAATTTCATATTTCAATGTAAACCTTGTCACCAAATAAAACATAGCAAAAGTTGTGTGTATGAGGTGATGTTAACAAAAGTTACGTTTTGAAAATGTAAAATAACTGGATAAAACTTTACAGGCAGTTTGACAATTCAGACATTTCTGAATTGTTTTCTGAGTTGTTACTTGCTAAGACCCCGGTTTGAATTATGAGCATGGCCTTCATTTTTTTGTTAGATTCAATTTAATATTTGAAATTATTCTTTAGATTTATTTAAATTTTTACAAATTTTAAAAATCTTCAGCATATTATAATTTCTCTATATTGTTTATTTCAGAGGCCAGACTTTTATCTAGTTTCTCTTCTTTTAAGTGCTCTGCTGTCTTTATGAAGGTGTTTCAAAGTTGTTCTTTGGAGAATGTTTTTCAAGCTAAATGAAAGCGTTAGACCAGTGTTAACTTACCTCTGCCAGTCCTTGATATTTATTATTGAGTGATTTGTATATATTGTGCTTTTTGCTGATTCTGATGCTGATTCTGATTGAGCTTGATAGATGTGCGTGGGTGTGTAACTCTTATCAGCTTTTTTGAGCTATGTTTCATGGGGGCTGGCCTGGGTCTTTGGAAATG